GGGGGGGGGGGGGGGGGGGGGGGGGGGGGGGGGGGGAGGCAGCGATCGGCGGCGGAGAAGAGGGAGCCAGAAGGACAAAGAGATGCTACACCAACGTTTCGATCTCATACATATTCAACCGGAGCCCAAGGCAAGAGCTTGTTCACATGGGGGGCTGCGTTGGATGCGGAACATTACCCCAGACGGTGACAAAAAATGTCAGCAAACAAACAGGTTGGAAGACACGAACTCATGCGCACGCGCAAACGCATCAATCCACCTTTCCTTCGATGCACATCCCTTCACTCCGGCGGCATCAGGTGGTCAGCCGAGGAGGGGTTTAATGGACGAGAAGATCGATAGAGGAGGGGGGCACACCAGGCTAGCATTCCTAGTACATACTCTGGGGAGCGCTAGCGGACGGCTAAGGTGGGTAAATACGATTTTTTGTTTCGGCGTCTGAGCCGAGTCGGAGCCGATCGATCGCACTGGGGAGTTGTGCGACTGACTCACTTGAGAAGCAGGTAGAAACCGAAGTTGCCGACCATATCTGATGGAGTGGACACCAGGCACGAGGGATTCGAGGGAAGGGGAGTGGGGTATGTGGGGGCATCAGGGCTGTTTCGATTTCACTCCATGGTCATGTGCTCATAGACTAGCGTACTCTCGATAATAAGCCACTCCGCGCATGCATGCACCTCTCTTGGTTCACGAGCAACCCACCCGGAGGCAAGATCATCGACATAGGGGTCGCCAGTGACTCAACCTGCTCCGTACTCCCCCGATGACGCCCCGACCACAAGGTTTTGCCACCTTCCCCCCCTTCTCGCGGCACTCGCCCCCCCACGCTCTGTCCTTCCCAATCACGCCCATGCTACACCTTTTCGCCCCCTCTCGCGGCACTCACCCCCCAGGACAGACGTCACAACCTGCACCAGCACGAGCGCAGGGGACTGCGTCCACCCGAACAGCCCCGACGTGCCGAACAGCAGCACCCTCCCCTCCGGGCTGCCACCGTAGGCCGCCAGGAGGACCACCGTGCACAGGGCGGCCGGTACGATCGAAGCGATGAAGGCGAAGTGGGACACCTCCACCCTGCCGCGAGTTGTGCAGAAGGTGTGCGGGGGTGTCGCAGTGGTTCTTGCTACTGTTTGTGGATGTCCGTGTTTACTGTTGACGTGACCATGGCACTCTACCGGTAACGCCAACAGATTGGACGCAAGCTCCGGCAAAAACGTGAAAATATTGCCTCGAACATCCCTTCACTCCATACCACCCGCTGCCACCAGCTTTCCTAACTCAACTCACTGGACACGCCTAACTCCGATTACGCGGGCTTTTGATACATGGAAGACTCACGGCAGTTCTTACGCCTTCTGGGAGAATTACTGAGTGGAGGTGAGCAGAGCAGAGCAGTCCAAAACAATACTGACGCAACAGCAATGATCAAGCAACAGCAGCAGCAACAGCAGCAGCAGCAACAGCGGAAGGGGCAGCAGATTGGTTGCGTGAGCAACGGCAAGGATACAACAGTAACAGCGACACCGACACCGACAGCGACAACCGCCGCGTACTTACCCCAGACGCCGCCGGAGAACCACCACAACAGCAACAACAACCACAGACGAGACCGGTTGCCCCATCGGCTCTAACCACACGCGACTCACTTGTTCCTCGCCGACTTCGCGTTGAGGATGTACATGCCGCCGAAGCACGCCGACCCCAGGCCGAGCAAAATGCCGAAGGCCTGGCCACCGCTTGACTCAGCATCCCCCGCCACAACGACGACGCTCGTTCCCGCCACCGCATCGGACACATCTGGGGGAACGCAGGGCAGTAGAACCAGCACACGCATGCGATGCTGGTGTTTTAGACAGCTGTCTTGCGGGGGTTTCGGCATATGAATAGGAGGGGTCTCCTCACGTCAACGCATGTCGTAGTCGTTAGACCGTTGACCTCGCATGCCCACAATGCCGGGCTGGAGCGATGTCCCAGGTTTTCGCCGGCCTAGGCTACGTTCCATATGGGCGGGGATGTGACAGACAGACGTGGTATGACTCGACATCTGCCCTCTCGGTTGACACACGTGCGTGCTTTTGCCTTTTAGACTTCCTCCGGAAGGGGGGTTTTTGTCGTCGGGGGGGCGAAAGATAGACGCCACATTGCTTTGACGCGGCTCTCTCTTTCACCCTTCCACGCGATGTTATTCAGCGCTTCGTGAGACTCTCCCTCTAAAAATGTTAAGTCAAAGGACAAGTAGCACACCCACGAGCTCCCTTGTGGCCGCTGGGGCATGCTTTCACCAACCAGAGACTACCCTTTCGAGAAATACCACTCAGTCCAAGGGCATGTATTGGAGTCTTTCCATTAAATGGCAGAAAACCGGCTGAATCACTGGCCCCATTTAGTGTGTTAAGCCCATACACTGAACTTGTATCAGTGGTGCCAGCAGGGTCCAACTACATAGGCGCTGCATTTCGTTCTTTCCTTTGGTTCCCTTGGAGTTTCCTTCTGCTATCTTAGGTCAAAGACAAAAAATACCGCTTCTTGGTCTTTCTCGCCTGCGTCAACGCCGTCGTCTCCACCCGTCTCCCCCACGGTCGACACGACGCCCCCGACCATGGCGAGAAGCACGCCCACGATCTCCAGGATGTGTACGGACTCGCCCGTGACTCCCCTCCAGACCACCAGGCACATCGGCGTCAGGGAGGCCAGGAGGGCCACCATGCTCGCGGAGGCGAACTACAAAAGTGATTGCATCGGAATAAGATGACACCGGGGGAGGAGTGTATGGGGGTTTGGGAAAGAGGTAGGGGTCGGGGTAGGGTGGGGTTACACGGGGAGGTCCGTGATTGGAATACGATATCTGGGGAGGGGGAGGTGGGGGGACAACCAGCTGACAACGGATGATGGGTGGACACAAAAACCGACGCTTTAGCACGGAAAAATGAAAACGGGGTAGGAGTGAGGTTGTCGGGTGGAGGGTACGACTGTGGGGGGGGGCGGGAAGCGCTAGGGGTCGGGATTGGGTGAAGTGGCACGGGGAGGGCGGTGATAGGAATATTATATCTGGGAAGGGGGAGGTTGAGGGATTACCAGCTGACAACGGAGGATGGGTAGACGAAAAATCGGCGTTTGGTTGGGTTTCCATGGGAAGCGGCTAACAGTACAGTTCCACTTCGCAGCCCGGATGTGTGAAGGCGCGACATGAGTTCATGACAAAAGAGGCAAAACGACAGCAACAGCAGCGACAGCAACAGCAGTGACAGCAACAGCAATAGCAACAGCATTAGCATCATCAACGAGCAGCAGCAGCAGCAGCAGCAACAAGCAGCAGAGAGCACCAACAACACAAGAACAAGAGCCGGAACGCTCACGTTCAGCGCTGAGTAGAAGCAAAGCCCCCAGCCCGCCAGCCCCGTTCCGGCTAGAACGACCGGCAACACCAACGACCAGTCCCGCAGCTCAGCCCTCGCAGACCTTTACCACAACAGCAGTCACGTGGAACGGAGAGGAACGAACGACAATACATGTGAAAAATCGCAGGCGTTAGGATCGACGTATGGGAAAGGGTTCGACGATGGCGTAAGCGCAATCCATGGTGGAGTTGTAACGGGGAAGTCGGCGGACGTTTGTTGTGCGCCGAAACAAGCGACGCGGTGGGTGGGGGGCACGGGAGTCGCAGCCGAGAAACGAGTAACCCCCCCCCCAACCCTCCCCTCCCACACACACGCCTCCTGCGGTAGCCCGAGCACTCATGCTACTCCAGCAGAATATGAAACGTTGCAAGCGAGGGTGGCTCGGCCTGGTCCACGACAAGCACTTGCGAAAAACAACAGCTGCACCACCAAACGACCGGCACCACCAACAATAACAGACACGCGTTCCGGCGGACACTCCCCGGCCCCTTTCCTCACTTGCTGCCGGCCACCATGAGAAGGAACCACGGGGAGTAGATGATCGTGGAGCAACAGTAACGCCACACTGGGTAGATGGCGGGAAGGGCGTCGGGGGACATTTTGCTCAGGAGGTCTCCCAAAGGAGCCTACACGGTTGACCCCCCCAAAAAAAAAGTGGGAGGAGGGACGACAAAGTGATGCAAACGAGCGGAAACAGTGAGGAGGAATCGGTTGCCATCGCCCACATAAGAGGGAAATATTTGGGTTTACAACAAGCTTGCCGGCGCAATGACACCTGCTACAAACCTTACCTTCGTTTCCCCCTTGTGTCGTAGCTTACACTTCGCGTCTCTCATTCCCCTTCTCGCATTCTTCCTACATTTACCTCTGCCACCCTTTTCCCCAACTACCTAGACGCCATGCGGATTCCAGCAGGACCCCGGTCGTGCATCACTTCCATTACTGGTCCCCACTCGACCAATCACTCACACTCAATTCATTCCGAACACTCCTCATCTATTCACTATCCATCCACTCATTCTCGAACTCACTTCGCATATTCTCGCAAACAATCTCACGCTCATTCACTTGCGTTTACTAATTCTGACATTGTCCGTCCACCAATCACAAGATACCTCCCTCACTACGTGTACGTCCATCAACGCTTCATCCACTCGCTCACTCACACACTCACTCCCGCACGTCCTGTCTAACTCATCCACTCACTCGCGCAACGAAAAGTCTAACTCACTGATCCACTCACTCGCTGGATTCACTCACCATCGCGGCGAGGCCAAACAGCGCCGACACCATGAGCACCCACCCCAGCACGGGCACGCTGCGGTCCACGATGACGTGCACGGCAAGGGTAGGCTCCTCCCCCTCCTTTTCGGTCACAACTTCCGTCGTCACTCTCACTGACTGGATGTCGCTGGGCATCTCCGTCGGAAGCTGATTGATTGGATGGGGGCACAGCAGCAGTGGAATAATCAAGTAGGGAGGGCTCATTAGGGAGAACAACAAGACGGGTTGGATGGAGGGTGCGGACAATTATTCGGCGGGCGTGTGCGGGCTCAGGAGGGGTAGAAAGAGTAGCGAAACGCAGACTAAATACACGATGGAGAATAAGTAAGGAGAGATATTGACTTTACCGGCACCAAACTTTGAACTATTAATGGCAAGAAGTGCTGTATTATCAGGGATGCCGAGAAAACGTGAAACCAAGCCCTTTCCGGAAAGCCACGCACCACAGCGAAATGCAAGAAAAAACGAAACAACGGTGGGTTGAACAACAAGTGAAGGATGCACAAACGCATGTGGTACCAAGTACCATCCCTCAATTTCGGCTCTGTTGTCTGACCCAACCGCCACTAAATATACGGTCTTGAATACTAGTGTTTCGTGTTGGGAAAAGGCAATCAACAAGACCGAACACAAAACAAGGCCCGTTGCCCCCCGGTGCGGCCGTGCAACCAGCAGCACCAAAAGCACGTGCGACTCGCCTCAGGCAAGCATCCGGACAGAATTCCCCCGTGGAGACAGTTGTAGTCTTCTTCATCGTCAGAGTCCCCGAGCATGCCCCCTGCCCCCCCCCCGCCGTCATCGTCGACGCTGTCCGCGTACTCCCCGCCACCGCCTCCGCCCCCCCCGCAGCAATCCCCGAAAATTCCTCCACCGGAACCCGTGTAGGCCGACGCACTCTTAGTTCCTTCGGGAACGGCGAACACGAGCTCTTCTACTCCGCCCTGCGCGTCGCCACCACGACACGGGTTTCCACAAAGTGGCGTTATTGGTTTGATCCAAAGAGGTAAAAGCTGTGTTACTGAGGGTAATCAATCATGTCGAGTTATTGGTTTCATCATCTGAGGGCAAAATCGCTTGGTGGAATTTTTTTAATGTTCGTGGCAAGCCGGGGATCATGAAAAGTGTCCAGCCGCCGTCAAAAATACCCCCAATAGAAAGCGCCGACTCACCACCCTACCATTCCCTTCACCCCATCAGTTTACTATCGCGAAGGCCAAATCGCCACGTCGTCTACCGCCCCCCATCATTTCGATGTCGCTACTGTCTCGGAAAAAAGCAGCACGACCGTTTGCCGCACCATCGGCATTGTCCTGGAAAAAATACGCGCACTCCCGTACAAGCAGCAAGACGGTTTGCCGCACCCCATCATTTGGTTGTCGCTATCGGAACAAACCCACGTGCTACCGCGTAACGGTTGTACCGCACCTCTCCCGGGACGGATACGATGAAGCCAATGTCCCCGGTGGCATCTCCTGCCCACGGCAGAGAAACCGTACCGGCGCCTGCTTCCCCTGCCTCAAGGTCCTGCTTCATCAACCAAGGACAACGGGTGAGATAAGGCGAAGGGTCAAACAAAGCGCGTGATGACTCATATGACCAAAGCTACCAACACGATCGGCCCCAGCTGCCGTCGCCACCGCGGTGAAACTCCAACGGTGAGGGGATGCCAACCTCGTCCGAATTACCAGCTACCGCGACCCCACGTTAGTTAAACCTCATTCGCAATGGCCGGCCTTAGGTTGCGGCAACGGTGCCGCTTTCGTGGACAAGAGGCCACCGATCAAGCTGTTACGATGTGCTGCTGTTGTACAAAAGAGACGATTGATCAATCTCCCACCCACCCACAACTCTCCCTCACCGGCCCCTCAAGGTTCTGGACCGTGACACCCTCCAGAGAGACACGCCTCCTCAAGGCGTGGCCCCTAGTCAAGAACGCCGAATCGTCCGCGGCCGGAACTCCCACCGCCTCCGGGGCGGATGTTTCAACGGGAACAACGAAACCCTTGAAGTCTGGAGCCGTGCTGCATGAACAAGTGAAGCAGGGGGCAGGAGAAGACACGATTCTTGCTTGTTGCAAGACGGATCTCCTGAGTGGGTTCGTCAGTGGTTATGATGTATTCAAGACATGACGCACGATGGAAATAAAGCTTGTGTTGGCATGAATCAGCTGCCAGCTGCCAGCAGTGCTACTTCCCAAGCTCTAGCAGCTCATACAGCTGAAGTATTGTTGAGTCGAATAGCCCAGCGAACCTCAACAAACAAAAAGACAGAATTACAAGCCTGTATACAGTCTATCACACTTTTGGAAAAAAGTCTTTGGACTTCAGTTTCAAATTTCAGCAAAAAAAAATGGCCTCCGCTGGAAACCTGGGACAATGCGCTACATATTTCTTGGTCTTCGACCAATCAAAGCTCGATAACGTATTCAGATTTTGCGAACCTCGTCAAAAAACCCGGTGCCAACAAACGTGGTAGCATTTACCTTTCGTCTTCCTCTGTGTCAGCATCGGGGTCGGCGCCAGCTGCACTGTTGGAGCGATGAGCGTTTGCGTCGAGGTGGAGCGACAGGTGCCTGCCGTGCCCCGCAGCAACAGCGGCGGCGGCGGAATCCTCGGGTGTCGTAACGGCGGCCGCAATGGCAGCGGCGGCGGCGGCGGCAGCAGCAGCGGTAGAGTTTCCAGCGGGGGCCTGCGGTACCCATCAGCAGCAGCAGCAGCGGAATGACAAGATGAGACAAATAAAGTACACGTACAACAGCAGTAGAGGTCCTTTCCTAGGCTCGCCTAGTGCCAAGGGACTAGGCCGGGCTCATATTGCGCACCCGGCGCGATTCAGCGTGTGAGACAGGCAGTAAAGAGCCACACCTCACGGGTGTCGGTGAATATACAGCCACGTTGACATCGTGCCAGGGACAACAGCAGCAACAGCAACAGCAGCAGCAATAACAACCACACCGGCGAAGACAACAACGACGCCAGCAACAAAATCCAACCGTGGCAATAGCGATGGAGGGAGAATGGGGAGAAGTTCGTGCTCACGGCGTGTTTAGACTCCCACGGGAACGGCTCGGCCTGGCTGACCAGTCCCTGCACGAGGGACTCATTCCCCCGGCGGAGTTGCGCCTGACAACGAAACAACAAAAAGAAGAATCGCATCGTCAACACAAAAAAAGGGGGGGAGGGGAGGGGGGGGTGTACTCATAGTCGTGCATGCCGTAGTCGTTAGACCATTGACCTCGCATCCCAACAAAGCCAGGACGGAGCACGCCGGGTTCTAACCGGACCAGGCTCTCACATCATCAAGCGCGAAGGGCCGTGCGATATTCGGCGAGTCGCATGAAGGGCGCGCTGCATCCTGCTAAGGGTGTTTGGCATCTTGTGCTTACTTCCTTGCATACGGATGACAGCTGGGTATGACTTAATTTATTCTCTGGTACTTCACATCCAGAGAAAGTTATAAGCACTGTGTAACTGCCTCGAGGGTGCTTGAACAATTTAACACAACGTGGTGCGATCACCCGCCTTGCGCGGAGTGAGAACTCCCGACCCCGCACAACATGATCTACTCGACCTGGTTGCCGAGTTCACGAAGTGAATTGGCTTGTTTTACAACGTCGTTGCCAAGCGACGAAA